TTTGTTGCCGCAATGAAATCGTTGTATGTGTAGAAAGGATTCGCGATGTTGGATGGGAAGAACTTCCTAAACACAGACACAGTTATAATACTAGAGGGAGATGCCAGTGTAGAGAACGGAGAAAATCCTAGGAGGCATAGCATAAACATTATCATGACTAATGCCATGGTACTTAAATGGATAGTATGAGAACTCGTGGTTCTGCAATGGAATTTTGGGGCTGTTTTTATAGCCTTGAGGAGTGGGATTGCGATTTATATTGACTTCATAGTCTTGAAGTGCCGTGTACATATTAACTTCTCCCCTTGGTCGAAGCACGCTAAGAAGATCTCTTTGAGTTTGCTTGTAATACAGGTGACCAAACTTTGAAGGCATCTATTTTATAATTCAATCATGTGCACTTAATATCATAAGCTTTTGCCCTAGTGAATTCAAAGGAATGGAGGGAAATATTTTATTTGGCTAGGGTTTAGGTCTGCGAAGAGGAAGCGTCCTACACACAATCTCAGCAATGCTCCGGGGCCGTGAGAGCTTGATTCGGCTTGTTGGGAAGCGGCAGCGCAATGTGTCACTCCCGGCTCGGGTGAGTGATCGAGCTTCTATTTCTTGGGTGGATCTGTGATCGTTTTCCTGCAGGAAGTGTTGGAGTGCGGTGATGTTTCGCTGGAAATAAAAGGAGGCCTGAGCTTAGCTTGTTGTGACTGGGTGGAATGCCCTGTGTGTGGGAAGCAAATACGCGGGAATGAACTTCTCGTCAACTGCCATCTTGGTTTGGATTTTGCTCTGTTTTGATTCAAGCACGCTGATCGATGGTGTCTCTTGTCCAGATACTTGCCTGCAAAGTGGGAAGAAAAAGAAGAACAGTGTCCAGCATACACTCTTTCACTTCAACTTTTCGAAAAAGATAGAGTACGAGGAAAGCGGAAACTGCGTACTAGAAATCCAGCAGTCTCCTCCGCTCGAGACTGGGGTCGACTGTAACACGGCGGCAGGGTCTCCGAAACCGGAAGTTTCTTCTACTCTTGAATGCTTTGAGGAGCCCGACGTGGCCAACAGCGTCCTTCTGGCAGAGCTCAACAGTGAAACTAGAGATCTTTACAATGGCTGCCTGGAGGCAAGGATTGCTGGCCGCAAGTACCACAGAGACGTCGAGTGCCAAGCTGGGATGCGAGTTCACCTGGTAAGGGAACCAGAAAATCCCATGGATACATACGCTGTGAAGGTAAACTTGAGTGAATGGACGTGTTTCATGGCTGACAACAACATTGCGCCAGGTGCTTACAGCGGATGGGCTTTCGCTGGGACATATTCCAAAAGAGCATTCGCGTTATTTTTCTCCTCTCATGGACAAAGGCGTGGTAGACGTTCAGGTAACTAATCTCTGGGGCGTTTTTCAATTGTTCACAAAGCTTTCAGGGATATGTCTCCGAGAGTACATCTGAAGCTGCACGCCTCAAGCTTGATTTCCGTGAGATCCAGAGTCGGACTATTGGAAGTCTCTCAGAAGAAAAAGTGCTGGCTGTCAAATGGAGCCGTCTGATGGATGCAGCTGACAAGGGACAAGACCACGGCTGTCGATACCAACAGAATTTTCTCTACATGCTCCAAGTGGTATTGGAACGGGATCTCCATCTCTTTACTCCAGACGAGATCGAACTTCTCGAGGCATTTCGTTCAATCTCGTCTGATGGACAGCGCCTTTTTGTAAGATTGGCTCAACGAAAGGGTAAGCTAAACACCGTCGCACAAACTGTGACTCAAGGGAGACAGTGGTTTTTGCAGGGCCATGGTTCCGTCTTCAGAACATTTTCTATGAAGATATTGGTGACACAAATTCTG